AAAACCGCATCAAAATCCGTTGCGTAGTTTTAAAGATCTAAGCATACATACGGACATACAGCGAAAGCGACTTTGTTTTATACTATTTATTGATTACTTCTTCACCAAAGGTAACAGTGAATGGTGGACTTCAACAGTCAATCAACCATAGCAGAGAAATGAAGCGGTTGATGCGAAGCCAGAACACAATAAAAAAAAGAAATAATCGTTATTAAATAATATGCATGCTACACACCACAGACATTTTGTTTTAGAGTGGCATGTATAATGCATATTAATAAAATTAATCTTAATGAGTACCTATTAATAGATTAATTTGATAAATTAATAACTGGTAATGGTACTTAACTCGTCGAGTACCGGTTTTATAGACACAATTAAAGAACAATAGGCCGCGGTCACCGGTGACCGCTTGGTGTTTGACAGTTTAATTTTGTATACTGATGCACTGTAATTGTCAATAAATGGAACATTTCTTTTACAATTCCCATTATGTCTTAAATCTTCCTTTGGCTGAATGCAGTTTGGCTTTCGACGAACAGGTTCAGAACAGATCGATGACATTTTAGGCAACCTGTCAGACTGCATTGTTGGGTAACCATTTTTATATTCAATTAACGCCATTATGGACTTGCCGCGGCAAGATTGTCGATTTTTATTTTGTATTCGACGAACTTTTATATGATTTTATATTTTCCGCTGATCAAACGAGGAAAATATTTAAAAACTACCAAAATGCTTTTAATGAAGGATTTGACAAGTTTGTAGGGTTTACAGGTCAATTAGAGAAATGACTAAACAAGTAAAATTGAGTTTCAAATATGTGTCCTTTTCCGAAAAACCATTCATTCTACTTCGAACACATTTCTTCAATCACTACAATCATGGTTCGCATCAACGAATTATATTTCACTTCCTCGTACAAGCAAAAGATTCTCATCTCACAACCGAATTACAGAAAGGATTGTATATTAAGTTTGTTTAGCAATAAATTCCGCAAAGATACTACAGATAACACATGCATGAGTGACAGCAGCTCTGGTTCCCATTTGCGCGGGAACGGATTGTGACGTAATGTTTTTGTGACTCTTTCTCAAGTCTGTGGAATTCGATACGATTGCTTTCATTTCATTCAACTTCGTACATTGATTGACATTACCTTCTTTATTGTGGAACCCATTTCCAAAGTCTTGGCTTACAATTTTCACTTTCATTCGCTTTGAAATTTACATTTTTATTGGTAGGTAGTTATTTTATTGACGATGTTTCTGTTAATTACGAGGAAAAGTAATAATTTTTAATGACGTATGTGTGTTGTATGATACATAAGCTATAATTTGCAAAAGAACCCCACTCAATAGGTAATAAATAGATGGTTTACCTTAATATTATATGTTCGTTAGTCACAAGACGACTCATATCTAAACAGGTTAATATACTTTAATGGATTTTGATACAAATATAGTAACTTGGGTATAGACGAATTAATATCCTTATTTTTGCGAAGCCATAGACATTTCCTAATTTAGTGAAATTTTAGGGACACCCACATTATTGATGGTTTTAGTAGAAGTTAAATAAAGTCTAAATTAATAAGCCTAAACACTCATAGAATAATTTTTGAGGAAGTGACATCCTAGGTGAGTAAAACCTTCAAGCAGGTCTAGTCGTATAAAGGTCTTTAACTCCTAAACCCTATTGACAGTTACATGGACAGCACTATCTCACTTCAATCGCAACCACTTTCAGTGCAAGTTCACTTTCTATGCTTTCCAATAACCCTGGCATGCTGTATTATTATCATTTTATCATTTTTTACCGAATTACTTCTAGCTCTATACATTATGTATCGGTGGGAGTGTATGTTTTTTGTAAATCCTGGGAAGATTAATTATTTCCGTAGGTTGCTGTCATTTGTATTTGGTTATTTGATATTTATTTCGGTTAGTTTATTAAAAATATGACTATAGAATACACAGACTCTTTTCTGAGAATGAATTATTTTATATTTAGTGCATATTTTGATCGAGGTTGTACCTATACCTAAGCAAATCAAAGGAATAACAACAACTCTTTGCTAACGCTAACTTCGAAATTAAAGATTTAAATATTTGTTTGACACCGGTAATAATATATTTTATCTTGTTATCCATTAAATGCTTATAAAAATATTGACACGAAAAGGAAGACTACTAATAGATACACATTTATTATGATACATATTTTTATAAGAAACGTTATTTAATATTTATGTCTTCATAGATTTCGAGCGTGGGACAAAACAAATGAAAGGGCAATTTATCAAATATCTCGAAATAATTTCGTTTTATTAGAAAGTAACTAACATCAGCTGTCATTCAAGAATCTCATATTAATTACCTACTATCTACTTTATAATATCTTACACTAGCTTCTCATCGCTGTTGCACTCGTGAAATTTTATCACCGAATGATAGACAGTCTTGATCAATTCAGCAGTTTATACTAAAAAGGTAACACACAAATAGGTTTTAGAAGTTCCTAGTGTTAATAGACACTAACTTGCTACTAAAATGTATTTTGTACAATCACAAAATGAGCTTCTTAAATTTCATCTTTATCGTCCTAGCAGTTGTTGCGGAGAACCTAACGGGTTACCGGGGCTCCGGCTCGACGTGCAGGAGAAGGAACGGGTTGGTTTTTAGTCAGTAAGAGTCTGACGCTCCCTCGCGTTCTCGTCTCACCCAGGCGGGAGCAGTAATTCGATGATTTTCACCCCTTAAAAAAATCGTCCTAGCAGTTACCACAAAAATGACACGACAAACACACAGCCTATTATGCATACATAAGTAATGTTACATATTAATGGGAATACACGTAACATGACTTAGCTATTTACTACATAACTATTAGTTACTATATTAGCAGTTAATATAAAGTTCTCAGATATTACGGGCCGATTACATAAGTGTCGTGTGTCCATTGTTTCGGCTATATTATGTACAATGAGATAACATTTAATTCTAATGAGGATGAGAACTTTTCTTTCACACTTTCCATGTTTAATAGTTTAAAACGTAACGTGTTTTGAATAGTTTTCGTTGAATTTTCACTCTTGTCTCCTGCGTCTTCTGAGGCCAATAGTACGAGTTTACTTTACGTTTAAAGTATTCGTAACGAGTATGCGTTCGGCACTCTGATTGGCCGGCACCAATGAAGCAACCAATCACAGCGCCGAACGCGTACTCGTTACGATTACTTTACTCGTACTAAGGCCTCTGGTAAGTGGTACTGGCGTACTAGTACCTATATTTATTCATGCTTGTCTTATAAGTATTTACGTATGGGTATTTGGAATGCAAATATGGAGATATTTGAAATATCTTTGATCTCATGTTACAATATGAACCTATAATCGACAACTGATTCAAATTCTGTAATGTTGTTGCCAAGAATTTCTTTAAGATTTTTTCTAACAATAGGTATGTGTAAATATGCAATAAAGAATTAGTAAATAATTTTTGAAATGAATATTATACAATAATACTTTTGCGCTTGTTTTACATGTGCTTGTATAATTGAGTATAGTGGGTATAGAGTCTTGGGTCTGCTGTCCACTTCGCGTGTTTTGACGATTACATGCAGTCAAACGACAATATAGGCAGCCTACTAATGACAAATGCCTTTATCTTGTTCAGAAAAAATAACAACTGTCCACGAAACGACAACGTAAAATCCACCTATTGTCATTTGACGAATCCACTATCACGGCCACTGTCCACGAAATGCATGCCATTTGGCATGGCTGGGTTTTGCTGAAACGATTTTGATGCGGTTTTCAGAAAATTGTTTGTTACTCTTAGGTGAGTGAGGATTTTAGTGTAAGTAGTACACTAAAGTCTTCTTGAAACTTAAAATCAACGGACTTCATCGTCGTCGTCGTCGGGTCGGTTGTGAAGTCGGGTTTTTTTAAACGTAGTTTATACAAGAATTATTATTTCATCAGCAGTGGTTTCCAATTTATTATCTTTATGAAATAGCCTGCATCCGTGAATGTGTGATATCTTATGAATGACTGCTTGTGTCACTATAATCTAAAAACCATTTCACAGGAACCAAATCAGTAACTAAAAACTTTGTATACTATTCATTTCAGTAGTTAGGTCTTTAGTTATGACGTCATTTTTTTTCTCTGAATTTCCTGGACACGTAGTAACTATAAGTTCTCAATGTGATTTTGTTTATTTACTGTTAGTGGTTAGGCTCATGTCATCATATTATCACATTAACTACACTCAGTTTTCACTAATTAAGTAATTTAAGTGCTGAAATAGAACGTAGTCTTGTCTTGTAACAGATAATATCGGAACTTCTAAACTCTGTATCCGAGAATTGAGTTAAAAATGTTAACAACACTGTAAATACTATGATGGGATCGAGAACCACAAAAAAATCTTTTCTCAGCAATCAAAATGAAGGATATATTATTATGTATCATGTAGTCTTCATAGTCCAGCTGTGTACTGTTAAGGTCTGTTGATGCTGATGAAACATCATTACAAGATTTTCAAATAGTCCACAACATCATATCACCCCACCAACGACACTAACTATAAAAGAATAATTTTCACAGCCTTCCGATAATTTGCCAAAATAGATCATTCTCAAATTCTACCGCCCACGTGTTCTCATTCACAAACCTATCATAGCCAGTTCCAATCTAACACAATTATCAAAATGTTGTTGACCTCCGCTGTTGTTAGCGCAGCATCGCCATTGACATGCATGTTGTCATTCTTTAATTGAACCTTCAACTTTGTATTTAGAACTCTTGTTAAACGTAGTATGTTGTCTTTGTTTCAATTCTAAAGTTGGGCAAAGGGTTTAGAGGCCAGATTTATACTCGATAATAATTATGATGGTAGACCTTTCTAGTTCTTATTACGTGTGGTTAACAATAACGAGGATTTTTGTAAATCACTATTAGAAAACACAAATATTGGTCGTACTATATCCGTCTTTCATACACGGAGTCAACGGACTTTTGGTAATTTCTTGGTTTACGGCTAATAATGTTAGTAATAGATGATAATAATTTGTAAAGTTATACTGCCTATCAGAAGTTATTGCGAGACTTTCCAAGCTGTGATGCGGAGACAAAACGTGACTTTCATTTAGTTTATGGTGCTACTGACTTCTTACGAACGAGTACGAACCTGCGTAAGTTGCTAAATGTAAATATTGTGTTATATTTCTACATAGTCTGTGGTAATTGATTTAGAACGCTTCGCAGCAACCTCTGTACAATATTTGCAGACGCTCTTGTTTGTTCTGTATCGTGTACGAACTGGGTTGTTAAGTAGAGTGGAAGATAAATTAGTTTTGGACCGATTTTCACATTTTACGCTTCTATTTCTTTATCCGTAAAGTTAAAGGTAATGTTTTATGTTAATATTATAGGTATTCAACGTCACAGAACATTCGAAACAAACTATAAACAAACAAAACATAGAAATAGTGAACCAGCACATAAATAAATCGTTCTTGAAATATTTTGTAAAAAACTTTCAACGAGATTGTCGCTATTAAATAGAAGCAGTCGCTCTTAGACAATGGAATTAATACAAATATCATACTAGTGTGTGCGATCATTAAAATTCTTTTGAAGATTTAAATACAACATTAACATTTTTCTTGGCGATAAGTTAGCATTAGTTACCTTGGAGGATTTCAACTTGTCGTTTATATACATTATGCCTTTATTAATTCAAATCTACTTTTTGAACAATGAGATAACACAATGAATGTTTTATTGTTAGCAGTACGAGGTATTATTATTGTTTATCAAATGTACATGGTGCAGTTTTGCAATGGATCGAAGGTACCAAAATATTGTTTAGTCGTGAGTTATTATTACCGGTCGATCTGTAAGTGATTGGGGAGGCCTAATGTTCGAACAGTGGACGTTTTGTGGCTGATATGATAAAATGTCATTAACGTAATGAACAGACAACGCATGTCTGGATCTAATGTTCAAACATAAAAATGTGTAAATAGAGTTTTCGGTGAGTATCAGAGGTCTAAAAGAGAATTTCCAATAAAATCTGTTGGTTGAAAATGGAAAAAACTGGGAGTTATATCTACGTTTGAAATGTTACGTGACAAAAAGATCACTTAGGTATGTAGTTCTTTTAATTCAGGTATTTGTGTAGTTCTTTTAATTCAGGTATTTAGTTCAGTAGTGTCATTATGTTTGCAATGTATGCTGATAATTCGTGTGCAGGTGTTGCAGATGTTGCGAGGACGTGATAACGTAAGCCGCTATTTCTAGCTGCTAGTGAGGTGCCATTTTGAAATTACATATTTTGAAATTAGATCGAATAGCGTTTGAGTTCTTTTCGCTGATGTTTTGTACTTTTAAATTTTAAAATAAAGAACGCTAATGTTTGTAAAATGAGTAGTTATTTTATTTTGGTATACAGACTTTTTCGTTTATGCTTTGTTTTTTCTGTTGATATTAGTTGACACAGCAAAATAAATATAAAACGTGTAGGTAGGCCTGTCATAGAAAAGTTGGTCAATTACATTCACAGTGCATTCTTGACCCCGCTGCACATTCAATTAAATGAAAACTATCTAAAACTGGTTTTTTATTATTCAAGTTACACTTACTGCTATTCTTGTCTGGTTCAGGGTTTTAGTTAATTTCATAGTGTAATATAGGCTTATTACACAAAAAGTAAGTCAAGTCAAGTCAGTCAAGTCAGTAAATTAAGTCATTAGTAGAGATTGAAATCAGAAAGTTAAAAATCTTCATAAAATACTTATTAGAGGCTATAATGTCGTGTACTGCAATATACAGAGTACCAACTAACAAAATCCATTTTACCACTTGACAACAATCAAAATTTAATCGAATTATTCGAGTCATAAATTATATCGATTGAAGCAAGCCAATCGCTATCGGTTACGCAAACGTCTCGCGTCCTCATCTCTAGAGCTACAGCCTTCGATTGAAGCCTGTCCGCCAGTCCGCCGTAGACGGTGCGCACGCGCACTAGCGCGACATTCGTTGACGTTTGACGTTCGATATTCAAATTCTCCCAGTCGATAGTGCAGTGCTCCCAGTTCTGTGTTTGTGTATATCTACTCTTTATTTAAATAATAGAGGGCTAGATTCTGTTATGAACAGTTCTGTGCATAATTTGTGAAGGATTTATGTTATTGCTTCGCGCGGTAAGTTCTATTTACTAAATGATGTCAGACGAGACCGTTAATTTTTTTGGTGGTTCTTAAACGTGTTTGGAATTATTTAAGGACTATATTTCATTAGTTTGGTGGCGAACATATGTGGTGTAGGCGCATACGATACGATATATTTGTTCAGCTGTCTGTAGTCTTCAGAACGTTACAAATATTGTGAATTTGTGACTCATTGGACAACACCGTAAACTGTCCTTTATACTAGAAATTCATGTCACCAATGCATCGTGATTCGGATCACGGTTTGTGCAATTGTGGTTAAAAATTCGGACGGGGATTGTTAAAACGGTTAAATGGCTATTTAAAAAACTAGGTCCATGTTCCATGTGTCCCATAGAATGTTGTGTCTGAAATATACACATTGAGTTGGTATTTACTCAGTTTTGAGTCGATATTTTTATAAAAAGTAAGTAGAAAGTAGACTCGTTTGTTTATATTGAGTTCTTAGCATACTTACGAGATGTTGACCTTTGCTTCGCGGTGTTGTGGTAAAGGGCTAAATTATTGACTCTATTGTGATTTTCCAAATCATTTGATAAGTCGTCACAGTACTTATTGCACCTACCTTGCAATCGTTTTCGGAACAAAATCGTTTATAAGAAATAGTTTAACTCGTCGAGTACCGTCATTACAGACACAAATAGAACAATAGGTTGCGGTCACCGGTGACCGCTTGGTGTTTGACAGTTTAAGCAATGATTGTATTATGTCTGTCATGAGTACGACAGTAAGCCGCAAATATTAAAGAATTTGTACCTGTTTTCCCCTTAATTAGTCATAATAAATGTATTCGTTTCTATCTGATACTCTTTACAAGCTTCTGTTGATTTGTCTATCTATAAAAATTAATTTCCGTTTGTCAATCCCGCTAAAACTCTAGGACGACTGAACTTATTTGGCTAATTTTGGTCTTAAAATGTTCATGGAAGTCTAAGAAAATTATTTTATTTTTTGGCGATACGAAGTTTGCCGAGTCATCTAGTTAATTAAATAAGAATGTCAGTCATGTCATTGTAACACATTGTACGTCCTTAAATACAGTAATATTTATGTATCATCGTAAACATGATTGTGTAGATAACATTTCCCTATTTACATTAGCTATTGTTACGATATCTTTATATTAACTTACTTGAGACTAAAAATGCACATTGAAGAGTTTCTGCTTCTAACACGTGATATCAACAACCGTGAAGGAAAAGTGATTTATTTACTTGGAAGAAACACATAAATGCAATTGATAAATAAGTGAACTTTGGTAACGATATTTGAATCGACAATAAAAACAAATAAACGTCACATTAATCATATTTCATTTAACTTTGACTTTGACTCTTGCACATGCTGAACTAGTCCCATTTCATCGACTCGACAGTCTCACTTGAAACGTGAACATGTACCCATAAGTACTTATAAATATAGGTAACGAGTCACCTGTTTCCATAAATATTGTTGTTGAAAAATATTTTTCTTTCTTTTTAACCGACTTCATTACTCTTAAGATAAACAAAGCAATCTTAACCATAAATCTAGATATTTAAAGTGTTAATATTCGCCGAATAAATAAATGGTCTCACCCTGACGAGAAAACTATGTGTTAGGTCTACTTGTAATGGCTATCTGTCTAATTTATCTTACGTACGTACGTTAAAATACTATATACGAATATTTTTATTAACTTTCAATAGAGTTAAGAATTAAATATTAATGAGGTCAGCAATGCATAACAATCGTAACCTAACCTAACCAGTAGGTTCGGTAGCTAGTATAGTTAGGTTCGGTTGCCTATTTTAAGATGTATGATGATATGTATCAGAGCAGTGTAAAACAGACTTTTTTTAAAAGAGTAACGAATGGAGTTTCTTGCTCGTTCTTCTCCACTAGAATCGACATTTTGTAACGAGCGCCTAGCTTCACTGACGGACAGACTGACAGACTATTATATATTTCATATTTGTTGACGTTTCAAAAGTACCAAATTATGGTTTAATTGAAATAAATGCTTTTGAGTTTGAGTTTGAGTTTGATGTATATAATAAGGCACAAAAAATTGTTTTAAACCTTTTAAGCTACAATTATTATCAATGTTCTATGTCTATTAATACACTTTTAATCAATCTCAAAATAGCTAAATAATAATCGTCATAATAGATAGGTATATAATATATTTATTTATGGAAATGAAAGGAATCCTTCCGCGTTATCTAACAAAACCTGTCCAGCATTTAATCCACAATGTAACTTCTCAGATATAAACTAAATTATAAATCCAGTTTCTTATCCAACCAGTTTTGGCAGACATTTAGATAGACTCTAGTTCAAAACATAACATAAAATATTATTGGTTTATTGTCAAACACAGGTCACTAACGTAATAATTAGCAGTAATATTTTTATGTGTAAAATTGTTTGACCTATTTGTTCACAATCATCAAAAGCCCCCGACAGTTCTCAGCTTCACTATGGGCCTATCTCTGCGTAAACAGATTCGCTTACTTCTCTTTTTTAGACATCTTGACATAACATGATATGTTCTTCTTCAAATTAATGTATAATTATTTTACACTCGCCAGTTTTGCAAGTGATATTATATATTTTATTTATTTATTCAAGACTTACAGCTAATAAAAACAGATGAAAACTCACCAGCAAAGAAGGACCGTCTACCACAAGCAAACTCTTGTTTAAAAGATTGTTCTTAAAATTTTGTTTTTATGTACATGATGTTGATGAAATAAACATATTTTTTTTATACCAATAAGCGCAGGTATCAGTGAGCCAATTCGGTACAAGTTCTCACGGTTATCATCATTACATAGTATAAAACAAAGTTGCTATCCGCCGTCAGTCTGTCCCTATGTATGCTTAGATCTTTAAAAATACGCAACGGATTTTGATGCGGTTTTCTTTAATAAATAGAGTGATTCTTAGGGAAGGTTCATATGTATAATACATGCAAATTGCACCCGTGCGAAGCCGGGGCAGGTCGCTAGTTTTGAATAAATTACTTTAATTAAGTGTGAGTACTATACAATATCCCCGTAATAGAGAGCGAGCCTATTCCCCATGGCTTTGTTTACCCATAAACAACTACTTTTCATTTTCTCATTTCTAACGAACATTGTAAAGATTTAGATGAACGATCCATTGGCACGTGTAACATGGTTTACAGTTTCCGCATGAAATGAAATATGGCCGTGACCGATGTACTTACTACGGCACACGTGGACAACGGCTCATGTCAAATCTTCTACATTTCACGCTTTACTTTCTCGTGGAGTTTCTTTTCACTCAAAGTTATATTTTGGGAGTACTTTGGTAGGTACTTATAAGTTGAGAGAACAATTCATTATTACTTACTATTAACACACTTTTTGTGGGATAGGAGCAAACGAGCAAACGAGTCACCTGATGATAAGCAGTCAGCGTCACCCATGGACACTCACAACACCGAAAGAGCCACAAGTTGCCTTTATTGATTTGTTTGTTTCAGCTTTGTATCCCAATTAGCAGTAGCTAAGAGCTCTTTTATATTTGGACAGGTAAAAGATCCAGTGAAATATCTTTTCAATAACCGGTGTTTATGAATCCCAAACTTCGAAATTTAAGTATTCAGCTTAGATGCTCTTCGTAAAATAATTTACAATGAATTAGCAGTTTGGGGAAAAGGAAATGCCCCGCCAAGTCGAGCAAATAAGAAACAGAGACGGCTTCGTTAAACAATGACTCAATATTTTTCCTCTAAACTCCTGTCCTGTGACTTGTAGAACTGTATGAAAGTAGAAAGGTGCTAACTCACGTGTGTTTGTAAAACAAACGGGTGCTGTTTGAAATATCATTGGTATTGGCTCTTTGAATTATAAAAACCGAAATTAAACTTGTTGCACAAAATAATAAAGACCAAAATCGATTGGAAATATTTGTCAGATTGGGGTAGCTTGATGTGCTTGTACACAGAAAACAGCAAAAAGAGAGAAACTAATATTTTGGCTGACTGCCATTTATTCGTCTAGCTAGATCTAGATACAAGCGTGACAGGTTAGGTTTTAATCCGGGTCCAATAACGTTGTACGGGTTTTCCAACTCTGATATTTTCAGTAATGTAATCATTATTTCTAAGAACTTTATTGCATAAATTAATTGAATAGCTTTTGAGCCGCCGGTTATCGGGTCTGTGGCTCGAAGCAAGAGTAGGAACGGGATGGCTTTTAGTCAGTAAGAGGCTGACAATTCCTCTCGCCTCCCCAAGGCGAGATGAGTCATCATTGGATGATTTTCCCCCTCTAAAAAAGGTATCCTTTGCAGAAGTAAAACTGGGAGAACTGAAGTGAGAGGTGTTTTCATAATTAATGTAAACTAAGAATTAGTCACAGATACTTAGCATAAATATTTTACTTTCAAGTACAAATACTACTGGAAATGTCTCCACTAAGGCTATATTATCTTTAGTGCAGGGATTTCCACGAATAGTCGCTAATGTTTTTATTGCGCGCACGCGCGCTGCTACACTACATTATGCGTTATTGAGGACAGAAGGCGAACTGTTAGTAGCATGTCTACTACAAATTGTAACAGTTCGGACACGAATCTCGAATTATTTTGGACACACTTGATATGGTTTTATAACCTATTTTGTTATTTTAAAGATAAAAATAGCTAAAGAGCATTAAGAACTGCGGCCGTTCATCGCTTTAAGATAGCTATGTCTTTGTTACGGTCAGAATAAGTATGTTATATGTATAGCTGAGCAATTTGATCCTTCTATCTATTTATTTTACGGTTCTCGTTGCTTTGTCTAATTACGATTCTTCCCGCATCGTGTCCTCAGACGCTTCTTACCTTCCCGAGTATTGTTTCGGCTTTCCTCTAGTGTCCAGTCGGACATAAACAAGTTCACCACAAACCTTGAACACATTGTTTGATGAATCTTGATTTTGTTTGTTATCAAAATATTTGGTTTTCAAGGTGAAGTG